ACAGCAACTGGAGCACACTTCGTAAGTCGACTTATCAGGCCTGATAAGTCGACTTGGCAGAGAGAAAAAAACACAACTCCAGTGCAGATCGTAAGTCGACTTGTGCACACTGACAAGTCGACTTACCATAAGTCGACTTATCCTTGTGCATGAGTCGACTTATGCTAGAAAATCTGGTTTTTCTGATTTCTCCACAGATTTTTGAAGGAAAGTGGGATATTTTCTCTTCAGAGACGGCAGGGATGATGCAGCTCTCATCAATGGCTACATCCATGTGATGTTTCATTGTAGTTCCAATGTGGGTATAGCTCCATTTGATTATTATAACACTGTGAATATAGCTCGATTTGATCTCGAACAAGATGAGTGGTCAGTAATTCAAGCACCATGGCTACTATACCGCTTCACTTGGATAGAAGATGACGAAATTTTCATGAGAGAGCTCAATGAGAAGCTACGTGTAGCACACTCAACATGTTTGAGTGCACAAAAATGTTTGGATAGATGGTTGTTAGAGAACTATGAGCAAGGAGAGTGGGTGAAGCAGTTTATTATTGATTTCTTCTCTTTGCATAACGATCTAGATGTGCCGGTTATCCCTTTGTTAATGGATGAAACTGGAAGAATATTGATGAAGGTAGGAAAATGCAACTTATGTTGCTATGATCCTCATACAGACGAAACTCAAATGATCAGAGAGGAGAAGGAACCATTCACGCCCAGCTTTTATGTGGAGAGTTTCCGTGATAGGTTGCCTCAAATACTCAAATCCATATTGCTTTGGAAGTTCCTTTTATGGCTTGGTTTATTTTGATCGAGAGTGCTACTTACATTAGATTTTGCACAACCAATCATATTAGAGGTGTATTCCTACTTGGACTCTTCTTGGGTTTTAGGACATGTGGACTTCTATTCCTATTATAACTTTTATTCCTTAGATAGCAAGGAGTTGGGATCTTCAAGGCTATATAAGAACAGTCTTTCAAGCCAATTAGATACATCAATCTTCAGAGCACCAATCAAGAAGAGAGATTTCTTTTGTGAAGCCTATTTAATATTTTTCTCTTTTGTTCCTTTCATTGAGAGTTGTATTAGGTTTTTGGGGTGTTATTTAGGATTGAGAAATCCACTTTGTGTTCCTCACAATTAGTAAAGCTTTTCTCCTCCTTCGCCCGTGGACGTAGGCTACAAGCCGAACCACGTATATCTTTGTGTTCGTGTATTCTTGATATTTTTCATGCTCTTGTGTGATTGATATTAGCTAATCCTAGGGAATTTGTCATAACAAATTAGTATCAGAGCTCTCAGCTATCGATCGGACGAGAAGATGACGATAACTACTACGAAGTGGGATATCGAGAAGTTTGACGGCACATTAGTTTTAGGCTTTGGCAAGTTAAGATGATCACTGTGTTGATACAGAGTGGATTGAAGAAGGCTTTATTCGGGAAGTCAAAGAAATCAACTACTATGACGGAGGAAGATTAGAGCGAGTTGGATGATAGAGCTCTCACAGCGATCTAGTTATGTTTGACAAATGAAGTTTTACAAAAGTTCTCACGGAGAAAACAACTGTTAATTTGTGATCTAAATTGGAGGATTTGTATTTGATGAAGTCGCTCACTAATCGCCTCCTCTTGAAGCATCATTTGTACACACTTCGGATGTTGGAAGGAATACCCATCAAATCTCATATTGGTGAATTTAATTCTGTGATTATAGATTTGAGTAAGATTGATGTTAAGATCGATGATGAAGATCAAGCCCTATTGTTATTGTGTTCTTTGCCGCTTTCCTACAAGCACTTCAGGGATACTATGATTTACGATCGAGATTCTATTAATATGAAGGATGTCAAAAAGAACTTATCGAATAAGGAGAAGATCAACAAAGAGTTAACCACAAGTAAAAGTGACGATAAAGTTGATGGCTTGTTTGTTCGAGGAAGATCGGAAGAAATGGGTTTTGGAGGTAACATGTATAAGTCAAAGTACATGAATCTAACCTATAGATATTGCAAGACAAAAGGGTATATCAAGACCTATTGCTACAGATTGAAGAACAAAAATGAACAAGAATAGTATGAAGAAAAATCAAAGGAAGACTTCGTTGAAGTTGATATTGCTAAAGATGTGATTTTGTTGGCTACAGATGATATAAACAGGAGCATGGATGATTGTATTTTGGATTCGGGTTGTTCCTATTATTTGTGTCCTAATCGGGACTGGTTCACCACTTATGAAGCTATTGATGATGGAGTTGTTTTTATGGGGAACAACGTCTCATGCAAGACTGTTGGGAAAGGCACAATTCGGATTAAGATGTATGATAGAATCATCAGGACTTTGATAGATGTTAGTCATGTTCTAGGTTTAAGGAAGAATCTCATCTCTTTTAGGCACTCTTGATAGCATTGGGTGCAATTTTTTAGGTGAAGGTGGAGTTCTTAGTGTTACAAAAGGTTCTCTTGTGGTTATGAAAGGAAAAAAGATTGGAAGCTTGTATGTTTTACAGGGATCTATCGTTACCGGATCGGCTGTAGTTGCATCGTTAATGTCAGGAGTTGATACTACCAGATTATGGCATATGAGACTTGATCATATGAGTGAGCGTGGATTGACCGAGTTGAATAAGAATGGTCTTTTATGTGGATAGGGTACAGGAAAATTGGGATTCTGCTAGCATTGAACCTTTGGGAAGCTGAAAAGAGTCAGCTTCAGTACAGGGGTGCATCAGACTAAAGGTACTTTGGATTTTATTCATTCAGATCTTTGGAGACCTTCTCAAGTTACCTCGAGGGGTGGTAGTTCCAAAAATTTATTGACCTTCATTGATGACTACTCCAGGAAGGTTTGGGTCTACTTTTTGAGACATAAAGATGAGGTGTTTATGACTTTTAAGCAGTGGAAGTCTTTGATTAAGAAGCGGATTGGGATGCTGATTAAGAAGCTTAGAACTGATAATGACCTTGAGTTTTATAGAGGAGAATTTAATGAGTTTTGTAAGAAGGAGGGAATCATTGGACATCGTACAATCCCTCACACACCGCAACAGAATGAAGTGGCAGAACATATAAACAAAATCCTATTAGAAAAAGCTCGTTGTATGATGTTCAATGTAGCTTTAGGTAAGGAATACTGGGCGAAAGCAGTGAATACAGCTTGTTACTTAGTGAATCGATCGCCATCTACTGCTATTAGCTGTAAAACTCCATGGGAGGTTTGGCCCGGTAAGCCTACAGATTATTCTAATCTTAGAATATTTGGTTGCCATGCATATGTGCATGTTAATCAAGGGAAGCTTGAGCCCCGAGTGAAGAAGTGTATATTTCTAGGTTATGCATCGGATGTTAAGGGTTTTAGGTTGTGGTGTCCTGATCCAAAGTCTCCTAAGATTATTATTAGCCGAGATGTTACTTTTGATGAATCTGTTATGTTCCGCTAGAAACGATCATCAGTTTCAATTGTTGATAAGGCACTACAGGACATAAGGTGGAGTTAAAAATTTGTGATTCAGCTCTTCAGCATGATAAGACTACGGGAGTTTAGCAGCCAGATCCCGTTCAAGTAGATGAAGCACCTCAGTAGTTGCAGGAAGAGCGGGAATACACTATTGCTAGAGATCGGTCTAGACGAGATATCCGACCACCACGAAGATATAAAGATACAGTAGCTTATACATTGTCGGTTGACAATTTTGTGCCCTTCAACTATTCAGGAGCTACTTCAGATAATGATTTCGCTAATATTTACGATCATTTGCGGAAAATTCAGTCGATTTGTTGAGGAGACCTCTTTCAATTAGCAAGTTCAAGTTGGGCTTGGATTTCATCGATACGTGTCGCACTTAGATGCCGTGCAGTGCTATTGGAGAAGGTGGAGTAAGTTAGCTTATTTTGGAGTGAGGAATTTTCTATGCATTTGAGTCAATGTGGAGATTGGTTATAGGTTGACTCAAATACTCAAATCCATATTGCTTGATTTGTTTTGATCAAGAGTCCTACTTACATTAGACTTTACACAATCAATCATATTAGAGGTTTATTCCTACTTGGACTCTTGTTAGGTTTTAGGACATGTGGATTTCCATTCCTATTAGAACTCTTATTCCTTAGATAACAAGGAGTTGGGATCTTCAAGGCTATATAAGAACAATTTTTCAAGCCAATTAGATGCATCAATCTTTAGAGCATCAATCAAGAAGATAGAGTTCTTTTGTGAAGCCTATTTGATATTCTTCTCTTTTGTTCCTTTCATTGAGAGTTGTATTAGGCTTTTGGGGTGTTATTTGGGATTGAGAGATCCACTTTGTATTCCTCACAATTAGTAAAGCTTTTCTCCTCCTTTGCCCGTGGACGTAGGCTACAAGCCGAACCACGTATATCTTTCTGTTCGTGTGTTCTTGATATTTTTCGTGCTCTCGTGTGATTGATATTAGCTAATCCTAGGGAATTAGTCATAACAGTTTCATATCTTTGAAATAGTCAGAGATGCGCACTGAAAAATGAAAACAGTGCCATGATGACGAGATATCCCGATATAATGTAGGAAAACGTTTAACTCCGCAAGTAAACATAAAAGGTCTCCAAATTTCTTTGTTAAACTAAACAGAATAGTAGTAGATGGTCGATAGATTCTTCATCACTCCTACATAAGGAACATATATTTTGAACTGATAATTCACAAAGTATATCATCTCAACAGAAAAATGAGAATCAAAATATTTTTAATGAAAAAAATTCAGGGTTATACCATTTTCAAAAACCGTTACTTTAACAACTCTATAGCACATGTAGCTTTTGCTGATTACTCAAAAGATAGCACTAATAAATTTTTACTGTTTGTTTCTTTATGGGAAAAATTCTGTCAATAGCATACTTTATTTTGTTTAGGAGTCAAGGATGCAGTACCATACATCTGTGTGTGTCCCCAGCTATAATCCAATATGCAGTACCCCCACAAACAAAAGCTCAAACATGGACGTAACTAACAGTAAGAATATGAAATTTAATGTGGAAATACAATACATAAAAGCGCAGAGGAGTAATGATCATCCTCCAACAACAAATTGTAGTACACAATCCATTACAACAATGTAGATAAATAGCGAGCCGATCTCTCGCAGTTTATTGAACGTAATTCTACTAGAAACCCATATCAACTAAATGTGTCCGTGGAAGCGTACGCCTGGGAATCGGGGGAGGCCGTGGCACAGCAGGAGGAAATTATTTGTGCGTAGATGGCGATGACGACGGTGGCTTCATGTCTCCGGGCAATGTGGGAGCGGCTGGGACTCCAGGGGTCGGAGGAGGACGTGTGACAATGGGAGGCAACTTGGGCACAGACGGCGATGACCATGGTGGAATCGTTTGTCCAGGAAAGGTGGGAGCATCTGGGGCTCCAGGAATTGGAGGCCGCCGCCCTATGATGGGAGGCAGTTTGGGTACAGACGGCGATGACAACGGCGGAATTGTGTGTCCAGGCAAGACGGGAGCATCTGGGACTCCGGGAATCGGAGGAGGGCGCGTTACAGTAGGAGGCAATTTTGGAACAGACGGTGATGACCATGGTGGAATTGTGTGGCCTGGGAAGGTGGGAGCCTCTGGGGCTCCAGGAATCGGAGGAGGTCGTGTCACAATAGGAGGCAGTTTCGGCACAGACGGAGCAAATGGCGGAAGTGCACTTCCAGGTTGCGGAAAAGTGGGCAGGTCTGGTACTTCAGGGATCAGAGGAGGTTGTGGAGGTAATGGATTCTTAGGAAATGCAGGGGAATCTGGGACTCGAGGAAACGGAGGCGGTTGTATTTCGACAGGCGATGATTTGGAAACAGACGGCGACGGTGGTGATGATGACGGCGGAAAAACATTTTCGGGAGTATTTGGAAAACCTGGGACCCAAGGAATTAGGGGTGACGGTTCAGGTGCGGCAGGAGGCGACGGAGGAAGTGTGTGTCCGGGAAGGATAGGAGCGGTTGGGACCGGAGAAACCTCCGCCAGAATACGTGCACCGAGGCACGTATTGCTATTGATGAGCATGGATGCTAGGAGAAAGAAGAAGGCTGAAGTTGAGGAAGCCATGTTGTTTATGTGAGATTTCACAACAAGGTGTTTGCAAATATATGTAAGCAAATGCATTGTATTTATAGAGGGGTTGAAGGAAGGGTCCAAGTCAGGTTGTTACCGTTCTGCTCGTATAGATGATTACTTGTTCCACTTGCGTAACTTTTTGGTCATGTTTGGGAGCAAAAATGTCAAGGTTGAGGGCAGATAATCAAACAGCATTATGGAATGACAATGGGTTGTTAGTTGGAAGGATCCTTGTTAGTCAGAAGTTTGATTGTTATTATTTTCTAGAATAAGATGGGAAATGAAGCACGTAATCTGATGGGTTTGCTGACCTGTGAAAGGAAAAAATTGTAGTCGTGATGGAAATTAATCTTACCGTGCACTAGGTCCGTATTCATTTGTATGAGGAGGACCCTTGACCAAGAACCAAAAGCAAATTGTACAACCCTCCATCTTGAAATATACTACAATTCATTTTCTTATAAATGTTTTTCTCCTTGTGTTTGCTCCGAGAATATGTTTCCTGCACTATACCCTTTTTTTCCACGCTAAAATAGCATTTAAAAACCACGTAGTTTTACTCACTTTGTACTTATATACCCTTACTTATTTTCACATCATTTATATACTCTAAGTTGTTTCAAATTGGCATGTTAGTATCTACTATTATGCAAACGTAAAAATTCATGCTTGAATGTTTCCATGTGACACTCATATGCATCAGAACTATCTATTATACAAATGTGAAAATTCTCATCCGAATGTTTCCATATGACACTTATATTCTAAATGATTTATAAGTGTCAAATGAAAATATTTGAATTTCACATTTGCAGTATAGAGGATACTAATGCGCTAATTGTTGCTATAAAAACAACTGAGGACATATAAGTGCAAAAAAATGAAACTATAATGTATTTAAGTGCTATTTAGCCTTCTTTTTTTTATCTTTTTCTGCTTTCGTTCGTATCTATCTTTCTTTATGAAGTGACTGCCACTAAATGATGAAAAATAAGTTTTCTTTAATTATTTTTACTGTTGTTTCCATTATTGTCTTTTTTAAGAAATATTTTTAAGAAATAGGGGCCTTAGAGTTATATTACAAAATAATTAAAAATAAGTTTCTTTTAATTATTGTTGTTTCCATTATTGTTTTTTTAAGAAAAGAAAAATGCTAAATGTACTACATGAGCTGTATTATTCTTGTACTACTAGTCTACTACACACAAAGAAGTAGAGTCTAAGTAGGGTCTATAGAAACTCATTATTTCTCTTTACAATTTATAAGAAAAAGTCTCACTTTTTTGTGTGGTAATACAAAAATAGTATTACTTTTAGTATAAGAAAATGTTATGTGTGGTAATACAAAAATAGTATTACTCTTAGTATAATTATCGCTACGCAAAAAAAGGACCTTAGCCCATTTTCTCAAAATGGATAATTCTATTACAAATAAAAACAAATTTGTCAGAAGTGGGATTTGAACCCACGCCCTCTTTCGAAGACCAGAACTTGAGTCTGGCGCCTTAGACCACTCGGCCATCCTGACGAACGTGCTAACACTATTACAAAGCATTATTTAAATACAATCACAATATCAGCGTTTGTACGTCCAACGGCCCCATAAACATGCTAAAGCTCTGCGATGGTATTTTCGGAACCAAAAACAACAAAATTATGTTTAAATATTACACCTTTATGAAAAAATGAAAGCAAAATATATAATTTTTTTTGGAATCTCAAACATAATCTGATCACAAAAAAAGATAATTTTTATATAGTTGTCTTTTGCACTTATTATTATGTTGTCTCCACTATGGCAGCTAGAGCTGCAAAATGTCTGGATATGGCTTGGAGATGATAGTTATCATATCTGTATTCACTTATCAATCTACATGGATATGAAGATACATATACCTTGATAAAGAAAATTCATAATAGTATTCGCTAAATTGGATACTGTTTGGGTCAGAAATTGGCTTTTTCATTGACATTGAACCTGTTACAATAGTTTATCGATTACAAGTTCAAAAAATAGAAAAGTTGATTTTTTTATAAGATCTTCTTACACAATAAAAAATAAAAGATTATAACTTTATCAAACAACACATAGATCCTATTTATTAGTCTCTGTTTGCGTGAGATCTTTGTCTGTGTCGGGGTTTATCCGTGGACCGTCGCGAATCAGATCCGGTTGATAGAAAAGTTAATCAGAGCTCTTACATCACAAAGGAAGTAATCGCTGAAGTGATAATCTTGACCAAACGAGATTATGACTCTTCTCTGTTGGCCTTCTTGTTTTGATGATGTTTAACAAACAATTTATTACTAATGTTGTTTGTCTAGTGTTTGTGCATTCCTATGTTTTGTAGACAAACAACGTAGTTGGAGGATGGATGGAATAGAGCTTCAACGATCATATCCAAAGGAGGTTGGCGGAATGTCGGTGAAGCCTTGCTATTCAAAGTTCAAGATCCAAGTTCAAGCTTCATCCGCGAGATTACCAAGTCAAGCTTATTGAAGATCAAGATCATTGCTTGGGTAATTTAGTTTAGGAATTTATATTATGTGTGTTAGTACTTTAAGCTCAATCATATACACACATACACGTTTTGGTTTTTGTATATATATAGTTATATATATACATATATGTTTTGGTTTGATAGTTTTCAAGTTTTACTATGAAACAATTGAATATAATTAGAAAACATATTTTTGTTTCATACTCATATGCATATATATGATTTCATCAATATCAATTTTAGTTAGTTAAATGAAATCATGTTTTAGTGCATTATATGTGTATTTTGATAAAATACTACATTCATTGTTTATAGACTTCATAACAATAGTTTACATCTTTCTTCAAGTCTATAAAATCATTTTGTAAAGTTTCAAAAGTTGGTTTAGCCAAAATGTCAAAATTCACATGTTTACATTTTCGTGTTTTGGACTATTTTGCAAAATGATGATATTTTTCATTTGGGAAGTCCTTTTTCGAAACCAGTCATTGTAGCATGTTTATTATCATGTCTACAATCATTCCCCAAAGTTTTACATTTTTTGGAATTTATTTGATATTTTTAAACAGGGTTTTAAAATCAGCAAAACAGTTTTTGAATATGTCAGATTTCGGTCGACCGCACCGTAATCAAGAAGAGTTTTAAACAAAGTTTTTAAACAAGGGTTTAGGGTTTTACTGTTTGTTTAAAAGATTGGGTTTCTGTTTACAAAGGAGGAAGTTTTCACTGCAGATTGAGGGATTCATTCTCAATCCTCTTCATCCTCTTCTTTGTGTTTATAGAGAAGTTTTCTAACTCTTTTCTCTAGCAATTTCGTTATTGATTTTCATATTCTTACTATTGCTAGTTTGCTATTTGAGTTAGATTTTATTTTACTCATTGTTACACACACCCACATTGAGCTTTTAGTATTTACATACATGGTATAGTTGGGTGGTGAGAGATTGTAACTTTGAGTTGTGCTTAATTGAGTTCTCATCCATAGTTGAGAACAATCATTTGTTATATTGTGCTTATTGAGAGATTCACTTTGTAATACACTTGTACACCGAGTGAGGAGTGTGTGGTGAGAGTCGTGGATCGTCCCAAGAGGAGTGGCGTCGGTTGACGTGCCTAGAGAGAGGTTGTAACCGAGCACTTGAGGGAGATACGGCTAGGGCCAACACTTAGTGGGGGTAGAGTGGGGTTGCAAGGCTTCCAAACCGGATTGTGTTAGTGGATTTCTCCCCGGGAGTGGGGAGCGGAGACGTAGGACGGAAGGTCCGAACTCCGTGATCATATTGCTTGTTTGAGTTTGTCTTTGGCGTAGTTGTTTTTGCATTTTTCTTATATCGCCAATTGTGCATTACTCATCCTTTTTATGATCCACTATCTAGTTTATATTGTTTACCCTTGTGTTAGTTTATATATCCTTGCATATATATTTTGCTATATATCTCTTTGCTAGGATATATCATATTGTATATTGCTTATCCTAGCTCATATATATTATTGCATTTCATACTTGCTAGGATAACTTGTTAATTAGTTTTAATTGGCATTTAATCGGATTAGATTAGCATAAGACCCTAACCCCCCCCCCCCCCTCTAGGGTCTACCATTCTCGAGATCAAAACCAAGTTTGATCCGGAGGAAAGGGTGAACGGGCCTCAGATCCTTTGAATAGCTTCCTCTTTATGCTGAAATTCGCCAAGATCTGCTAGCCCTCCTCTGAAATTCGTGCTCCACTCACCTTTCTCCTCTAAAATCCATGGCTCCCTTCAGATCTACCTTTATGAGGGTGCTAGGGGTGTATTTATCGGCTTTAAATACCGT